TTCTTATAGGTTGAGGTTGTCGAATTCACTGAACTTCGTAATTAAGCAATATTCAAAGGAAAAAAAACGCATTAACTGCAGCAAAGATTACTTCCACGGATGATGTTTTTAAATTGCATATCTGGCTCTTGAAATAAGCTCTTAAATCCTATATCTGTGGAATAAGAAAGGACTGGTGTTTTTATTATTTGTAAAATGATACTGTTTTCCTTGAACTTTTAGTTGCTCGTTTAATTAAGCTTCATGTGAATATGGTGCCTGGCGTATGAGGCAACACGAATGGTCACATTTGAACAACAATACACAAAATGGAGTGGACGTATGGTGAATATGAATGACGATGTAAGGGCTTTCTCTCATTCACGCATCAACTTCACAGAAAATGCCCCATCTGTTTGAAATTTGTCGAGGGCTCCCCGTAGATAAGAGCCCAATATATTGTTGAGACTAGTATGCTTTCCCTGGTAACAACTGGGATCCAAATCCCGCATGACGTTGCATATACGGGTCCTGTCTGAAATGCATCCCTGGGCAGATCCGAAACCAAGTGGAGGTAAAGTCGTTTTTCAAGGGGTCCAAAATATTGGAATCTATAGCCTTTTATGGCCGTTCTGAGGGCATGAGAGTATACCCGCTTTCGGAAGGACAAATGAAATAAACCACAAGAATCGCCTTTCTCTCATTAATAAATAAAATGTGCTCCTTTATTAGGAGAGGGGATGACCCTCGTTGACCTCCCCTGCATTCGTCCTTGAATCCATGATTCTATTTGCCTGGCAAATTTGTTGGGTTATAAACTGGATTTCAGGCGACTGCAGTGTATGTTGCGTCGATCGCGTCAGAGGTGATTTTCATTAATATTTTTCGGATACATCAAAACAAATTTTCAATTTGAAATGACAAAAAGGAAGAAATTAAGAATTGTAAAAAGTTCAACAAAAATGTTTGAGTCGAAACTAATGTCAAAATAATGCAGTCACGTGAGAACGCTCTAAACTCTGGCACATTTCATCGGCATTTCAAACGACCATACGCTAATAAATTTATAATCCAATTACACGAATTTCTCTACCATGTCAAAGAAATTAACAATGGTACATGACGGAGAGGTTGATATGTCTCCTTTATGTCGGCATAAAGGTACATATTAATGTCTTTAGGGCACGCTAGCTGTCCCTTCAATTACACGTACTGTTTTCAATTTGATAGCATGGCGTCACGCTTTCTTGCGTAGGTTCATCTTTGAGCAGGGCTCCAATCATGGGTACACTTGACACCATTCTAGCATCAGGAAAAACACTAATCCTTGGCAAAATGAAAAACTTTAATCTTTTTACAATATGTTATCGCTCTTATTTTTAAGAGTAACTGTTTCGTGATATTAAAAGCCACGCGTCTGTCCAAGACCAGGACATATTATTTTGCATGTTGTTTATAATGTGCTACATTCGCAGGATAATCTACACGTTTGTACTTGTCGATATTTCTGTCCTTTAAATCAAGCAATGATTACTTTTGTGGATTTGTGAATACTTATTTATCGAAACAAACACTCTCGCAACAAGAGTGTATACATGACTGCTATCGTGCACCGATGCTTTATTCGCGTACGTAACATATGGAAGTTTAGGGGACAATAATAGATCATGATTTAACAATGATTTGCCCCCCCCCCCGAAATCCAGAATGCTTCAGATTTCTACAAGTAAGGCCAACGAGGATCACAATTGAACGTAAGTGGTCATATTTGGTCCGTACGGTGATGTACGGCCTTGAGTTTTCCGTATATAAAAAGGCCAACGTACTCCCCTTTTATTACTTCTGCTTCAGGATCTTCCTGTTGTCAAAAATGGCCCTTATAAACATCGCTGCAATGAAACTCTTGTTTGCTTGCTGTATATTCGTCAAGCCATGTTGGACCAACGCTTCGCTTACCCGACACCGCCGGGGCACTATTACAGGTAATTTCCTGAACAGTTCGTAGATTTCATTAATAAACCAACACAATCTTTATTGATGAGTGCGTGTAGATTTCGAGTCTGGATAGGAACAAAACCGAGACAGAAACTGCTTAAACGCGCATGTCCTTCACGATAGACAGTGGTGAATCGCCATAAAATGCCATCAGGATCTTTCAACTATAGCCTAATAGCGAAATGAGTGAACCCCTCATGTATGTTTTAAAAAAGCGTTCCTTCGAAACCAAAAGCACCCTCCTACCAGCTTATTCATCATGTTAATCATTTGCTCTGCACCACTTTGTTTTTCTGAAGAAAACAGCGGGCGTGTCACTTCCTGAACGAGGTCTTAAGGATGTCAAATAATACTCGTGTTAAGCTGCTTTTCCCGTTAAATTTTCCCCTTTAATAATGTTTCAACCCAGCGGATATGAGATATTCCATGTCAAATTGGAGACTGCATTATTACCCAGAAAACGAATCGTTAAATTTCCTTAAGGGCGTGACGGTAATACGCCTATTGGCGCCGCACGCATAAGTCACAGAAATGTCACCTTATTTCATTTGACCTTTCGCATGGCTTGTGTAAGCGAGAAACCAAACACGGTGGTGACAGTGATTAGCTAGTGGCCTAGTGTTACTGGTACTTTTCATTCGCGGACGAATACTCAATTTTCAACTCAAAAGAGTGGAATTAACAGAACAAAAATTTTGCCAATGGAATCTGAGGATAAACACTGGTGACATGCATCTATAGAAGTGCCGCCAAAATTAGGATATCACGCAAGCGAAAAAAAGCTTCTCTAAGATCCAATATTCATTGCATTTGCAACTGGAAAGAAACTCTTCATTGTTACATAACTTAGGCATAACAGCTATTAAAATTGTAGATGAAGGGAAAAAAGGAACTACGCAACATGTTTCTTATGTTTATGTAGTGAACATTGCAAGATCAATTTTTCATCAACCGACCATTTATCGACGCACTATCCAACGATCACTAACAAAAATCGTTCACAACCTAGTCGTACTCGTTTACGTAAATGTTCATTTCAATCAGCACCTAACAGTTAAACCTAAACGTCTCAAATCGTCCTCCGATCTCAGCTGAGATTTCACATGAACCATTAACGGGTCCATGTAAGAATAAATAGTTTGGGCACTACACCATAAGAGGTCCCTCACATTGAATCGTATTTCACTCATGACAGGAGCTCGTAAATATGCTTCAGGTGCTAATTGTACAATCCTGAAGTTCGGAGAAAAATCCGATAGGTTTTTGTTTCACTCGCAATTTACCCGTCATGACTTGAAAGATTGCCAGAATTGCTCCTCAACCAATCGCTCATGCGCAGTTAACAACTTCCGATTTAAGACGCCTTTCCATATGCGCATCAACATGTGCGCGTCAACATAATGTGACGGCCGAACACGATGCATGAATGCTATGTTAATGTAGTCGATTTTTGTGTATGTAAAATTGACACGCATGAGCGCATTGCGTTAGCAACGCGCACACACACAAAAGTACATATGGAAAGGCGGATATGGGGCAGCGCCGAAATCTGGAGTTCACAAAATTAAAATTGAGGGTAGCAACCACACCGCGCCGATGAAACCAACTACAACGAGCGCGCGCGTCAAAGACAAGATTGTGTATTAAAATCGGTCAACTGACAGCATGCTGCATGCATACGTCGCCATGGTCGCTGTTTTCACCGGCGCGGTACCTGCCATTTTGCGAGAATTCCGGATGTCCGCGCTGCCCCATAGTCGTTTACAAGTATATTCCTGTAAGACTTGCTTCTATTTCGTCGAAGGTGGGAAATTCTCCAAATCGAATTCCGTTACAGGTGACTGCTGATGACGTTTGCGTCTTGACCTACTAATTGATCATATCTTCAGCCAACCATGATCTGCTTGTGGGACGTTATGTAGAATATCTCGCCACCTAAAAGTATTCAAATGATCCCTAATTCCATGTAAATGCAGATGAGATTTTTGCCTCCTTACTGGAACATTACTTTCTGATCACTGCGCTGAAGAAACACCTAAAGGTGTCGTCTACTCAGGACCCTAACATTGATAAAGTGGTGGCATTAAGACTATTGGACAAAATTGTATTGATCTGTTGTTGGCTCATACCTTTGTGCATGTCAGTTTGTTTTCTGTCTTTTCCTATTGATTTACATCATGTAGGCCTGTAGGCGTCTTTATACACTACTGGCGGGTCATCGATACGGGTCATGACTTATTCAGTGTAATTAACCACAACCGATGAATATCGTTGTATTGACCACATGCAATAATGTGTAGTCGCAGCTCTGCACAGTGTTCTTTAAATACAGAAATAACACTCTACGACATGTAAACATGTAGACGCAAACGCACAAAATTCTTGCCGATACCAAAATTCAAGACGCGTCGTTGTCTGGTATTGCTTCGAAATAGAAACAAAGATACAAAATAGGTTGTCAAACGATTGCAGCAGACTGTGAGACACAGAGGAAGGAAGCATTAAAGAAGTCGGGATGAGAAACATTCCTGTCGCTTAAGCTCAAAAAGCGCAACGGCGACTAGGATTTACATTGGCGTTTCAAAAAAAATATCACGAGACTTTCACAATTTGTATAGTGGAAACAATGATTTCATTCGGGGAATTCTGAATGTTCGGTGAATAGTGAACCTTCGGTGAATTTGAACATTCAATCTGTTGCCTCATGAATTTATTTCTACCACAACTTTCTAATTTGCAGTGGAATAGTCTGGGGAAACGACAGATGCGCTGATGCCAGGCATGACGCGTTTCTAAACTTAAAACGGTGCGAGTATTTTGGCCAGTCATAATGTGCACCCTCAGCATCAAGCTTTAAATATTAGGTAATTGAAACGAAGGGAAATCTCTGTCGGTGATGTTATTCCTTACTGGAACTATATTGAGCAATACCAGGATGCACTGTCTTTGAAAATGGTTCGTAATATGAAGTCAATCCAGTAAAACCCAGTTTAACTGTAGGTTGTCGTACCCTATTCGGCTGCATCATGGTACGCAATTGCCATGATTTATATTTTGTCCTGTCCAAGGAGGGAAATCTATCCTTGCACGGTGAAAGCTCCGACACTGTTAACGACGTCATGCTTGTATGGTAATTTAGTATGGGGAAAGGACAGTATGCATGGAAAAGCCCACTATCGTTAGGCCTATTGCCTATTGACAGCAGTGTCTGTCCACAATAAAGGTTTAGGTGGTGCCAACATTTTTGTTCTACTTTTCAAAGAGGAGGGGAAGGGATAAAGTTGCGAAAAACGAAGGTTGAGTGTAATACATCATTATGGGCAAATTATTTAACCAAGGGACCATTCATTTTACAACATTTTCACATCTTTTTCAACATTTTCATATTCTTTCTGTCCCCCTCCCCCGCAGTGAATACAAATTGAAAGAGTGAAATTGATGATTCCTGTGCTGGGTAAGGTCATCATTGTCACAATCCATTAAGCCCCTCGCGTCCAGTTCGAATTGTGCTTATGAAAATACTTTTTTTATTAATGGCTCGGCCTACAGAGCTTAACTGAGAGGATGCCAACTACATGTGTCATACGGGTGAAAACCTGTGGCGCATTATTAATTTGAATTTTTTTTCCATGTTTCCTTTTCCGCGCCAGGACGTACGTGTATCGCCAACGGAAACATCTACAACCCTGGCCAGGAGGTCCCCGACCTGAGCCCCTGCAAGACCCAGTGCCGGTGTTACGCCTCTCTCTTCGGTCGCACCGGCCACATCGTGTGTGCTGTGAACAGGCAGTGCGCGTTCACCAACCTGTGCGTTAATCCAATCACAGACATCTGTGGTTGTCCAAAGTGCCGGCCTGGTGGCTGGATTTGGCCCCCAGTAACAGGTGGGAAATCCACTCTCTCACACGCACTCTCTCTCTCTTCTTTCTGTATAAAAAGGTTTTTAAAAACTTTGCCAATACACCTGTCCTTGTCAGCTTGTAGCCATTTTGGAAGGTTGTGTACCCGGCAGCGAAGCGAGCTCCAAGAGGCGTACCCCCCCCTCTCACCTGCCGAATGGAATTGAATGGAATGCCTAAATGAAATCTCTCCAATTTCTCCAGTTGCCCTGGAATTCAGAGAAAGCGTCACCATGATAAAGATTCTAATATTTCTTGGGGCATGCCCGTGTTAATACAACATATTAACTTAGGCTTAGTTGAAGCTACATGCGGTTGCAAGTTCAATCATTTTAACTTGTTTTTATTCAGGGGCTTAGTTGAAGCTACATGTGGTTGCAAGTTCAATTGTGCCTATACCTCGGGTACTAATGGCCGGCATTTTTCACAGGGTAACAAAAAAAATGCAGAAATTATACTTCTCTTCGTCTTGTCCAAACTGTGTCGCACCTCTGTCTCTTCCCCCATTTTTTTAATTAAGTGCCAACTGGAGCGACTTACGTTTTTCCCCTGGATGGCGGTCGTGGGTTTTCTGTTAACCTGTTTTTCCCGTCCTCAGCGGACTGTTGATAAGTACGTCAACCCGTGCTAAATCTAGGCTGACTTCCACCTTGGATCCTTGCTTATTTGTCCTCATTACCCACGGGTAGGTTGGTTCCGAGTCTGCACCATTCGCTCTTCAAACTGGAGCCTGCTACGTCGACGTGTTTGCGCGGTTGCCCCGCAGGCAGCTCAACTGTGACATTCTCTCGGTTCATAATAGCCCAGTCACACCAGCCCTAGCCCTGGCCTCATCTGCGCATGTAGGAAATACATTCACCAGATGTGCTCATCAGTAAAGTACCTTTGCCGTTGTCAAGCAACTATTCTGTCAATTCTGGAACAATGAATAGGATTGCAATACCTAAGAAGGATTTGGGTCCCTTTGTGAGCGGAACTTAAGTGTAAACAATGTTATTATATAAAAATGTTAAGATTGTTTTCCTTTGATCTAGGTTAATGTCAGAAAAAGGATAGTCTAGGAGTCCATTTAGGAAAGAATCGATTTGGATGTGGAAAATGTCCATTCATCCAGCTGAAAGTGTTAGTTACAACTTAGTTTGTTTGAATTATGATTTCACATCGTCCGAGGGCTTTTGTTCAGTGAAGAGCTTGAAATACTACTTGTATATATTTTTGGATTCCCGTCTGCTCTTACATGGGGCTCATCATTATGTTTTGGTCTTGTACATAAACGCATCATAATGGCTCCTGTTATTTCAGCCAGACTAAAGTTTATAAGAATAGACCTGTTGCGGCGCTTCTGCCCTGAGCGATGTCTGCTACTCTTGAGGTCTTATTACGGACGGAGTTTTGCTATGAATTAGCCTGGGTGGGACCAGCCTCCTTGACGTTTCTTCCTCCTGACATTTCTGTGTGTCTTGCCTGAATTAGTTTTCGGAAGGACTTCTTTCCTGATTTTTGACAACTCGTTTAAAAGAGTGTGACCTAACGCTCTTTTTAATGTCTATCATAGACAACGTTACCAACTTTAAATGAGAAAGACTTTTTGGTGCGGCAGTAGCGAAATAGAATATCGTCTGCATGTAATGAGCTTTTCTGTTAGGTTTGTTATTTTATGTGGCAATAGTATTCATGTTTGCAGAAAGCCTCATTTCTGAAGGGAGATTCCTCTAAGGTAAAAAAAACTGTAGATTTAAAAGGGACGCGGCGCCCGAGACAATCGCCAGTGACTGCTGTAGCGCTCACGGTAATGTTACTTTGATTAAAGCCAAGGACCGTATAATTGAACAATATTGCAGGTCCACGAAAGGGTTCCCTGTGTGGTATCATTGGAATAATAATCGCATTGAATGCACCGATGCAAATGACTTAAGATCTCATATCAATTGGTTGTTAGTGTTGCACGACCTCGCTTTCGAGCACGGTTCGCATTGCACAGTAACTTAGTTCTGTGCCGGGGACGGAGGGAATGGGGAGTTACTAAAAGTTGCCTGGCACCAGTAAACTGAAAGCAATATTCTACCTCAATTACGAAAGATTCTAATCTTTCATCTAACCTTTGTTGACAACAACTGCGTGATGTCAACTAAACGGAATCTGGAACCCTTCGACTGCAAGTGGGTAAATCTTTGCAACGTTGCACAATCTCGTTTCCACGTAAGCACGGGCAGTGAAAACAAACGTGCATGAACATGGAGACCTAGATACGATATCGGCGGAAGGGAAAGGTCGTTTAGAAAAATCTCCATAGGGGGACCGTGCGAGGGTTCCGGAAGCTCGCTATACCAAATTCACTGCCAGATATTAGTGGTTTGTGAGGATAATACAGGCATTGAGCGCGTTCCACGGAATCGAAGTAATCATTTAGTAAGCATCATTGGCGTAAATCCCGGGGACGAGGTTCCCCCCCCCCCATTTTGAGGTGAGGGGATGGGCTATTGAATCATCCCCCCCCCCCACACACACACTCTCTCTGTGGTGGGCAACAAATTAAAGCGAATTGTGAAGAATTTTTCTATCGACTAAAATGCGTTCAATATCACTCAAAAAGGGAAAACATTTTTAAAAACCATAAATATGCCCTTCTGAATACTATTACAGATGTACGTCAATGTCATGAACAAAATGTGGTGCCCCCCCCTTCCGCTTTTCAAATGTTAAAGGCCGGGCAAGTCATCCCCGTTCCCCCCCCCTTTCCGGCACATATTTACGCCACTGGTTAGCATTAAGTTGGCTAAAGCAGTACAATTTTCATTTCCGTAGCATGAAACCAAACTCTTATCTTAACCAACCACAGTAAGTGTCAACATTATAATGTTTGCTTGAACATTTTGTTTTGGAGCCATTTTTTTTTCTCTCAAAATTTTGTGAGGTCTCTCGCGAAAGACTGCCTTCTCAATTGTACAGAGGCACCTATTAATTTCAACTGTCTTGCATTTCATGTCAAATGGTAGTGCCGAAACAACATCGCAGAGTGCAAGAGTCCACGTGTTACCGTTAACATGTACTGAGCTCTGGAAGTGCCATCTAGTTTGGGGATATCTAGGCAAAATTTGGGGATATCTTAGCAATAACTCAGGTTGACGACATCTCAAATGTTAAATGTTGACATCGTGAATGATTTATCAGGGGACGATGCCATCCTGAATGCAGGATTACATCGTCATAATAAATTTTTCATGGGACGATGATATCCTAAAAGTGAGTGGGCACCCTAAGGTCAACATCGTCCTCCTGAGATGAAATATTTCTCAGCAAGCCTGATGGCAAGTCAAGAGCTCCGTTGTTAGGACGTGGATTCACATAGACCTACGTTTTCCCGAGGGTATATGGTCGAGCAGGAAATGGATGCACTTAAAAGATTTCACGGAGTCTTGGGTTCCCAAAGGAACATATTTACTTTAGATTTACCGAAGGAAGAATATGCTGTTAGACAAGGGACGGCTGTCCGTTTTGCACCCAAGCTGGAAGTGAAAATTTTCTTGGTTTTATTTTTTAACTCGGATAAATGTGTGAGTCTAGTTTTTTTACATATTGAGTCACTGAAGTAGAAATGAAGGATCTTGGTCAAGTGGAACTTTTATTTCTTTTTTATTTGGTCTGTTTTCTTTTTGAGCCGCTGGTTGGTGTTGTGGTTATGCACGCGTGCTGTATAAAAACATACACAATGCATACGGTCCTGATCACACCGCTGTGAATACTTAAGTGCTACATTGTTTTCAGCTGATTGCCAGCAGCTTTCAGGACCCAAAAGCTGTCTGTAAACTCATCATTTTAGAGCCTTTCCTTATTTTCCGATCTTCTTCCGCCAAGAATCTTAAGCTTTTACCTTGTTTCCTGTTCTGTGATCCGTCAGAATTACCTGCCCCTCGGCCAAATACATAGGCATGGATTACTTAGATTTCATAATTGAAAGTTAATCCTCTTATAATTTTGTCCTTTAATGCAGGGTTTCCCCAAAGAGTTTGCCTATAAATCCCCGAGAAAACCCGTTTTCTTTAACAAGCTTCTGACAGATTCTCTCCTACGCAGTCAGCTAATAGTGTGTATATGGACTTGATATTCACGTACATACACACGTCGTGGTTAACACTGCGCACACATGCGCAAGAGCCATGTGAGGAAAGAGCAGCCAACAATCAAAAATGTTACACTGTTGGTAATCAGAATGAAGCTTTCAACTATTACAAGAATTAGTTAGTAGATGCTCTACGGATAGGCCCTACACCTTGGGTCAAATTCCCAAATACTTATTGAATACAAATAAAATTTGGACCTCGACAAAATAAAAGGTACTGAAATCCCTCAGCTTACCTTTCTAGGTTTAGTTTATATTTCTGATGCATAGCGCACCCGCATATTATTTTCCAGTTTTGTGCTCTTCAACATGCAGGATTCGTCGAAATATCCTCTGCTGTCTTTGTCTTATGATCTCCTCTTATTCGTGTAGAGCCGACTAAGTCTTGTGCATTGCAATGCTGTAGTTCGTCAGTTTCACCGGCAACAGATTCTCTCGATCGTTTCTAGATTTCAAAATATTTGCATAAAAAAATCCTGTATAGCGTCATTAACTGAATTCATCAGCCACACCTACACACAACAGCGTGAGCCACTTGCATTGATCAATTAAGAGTTCCATGTGTCCTTTCGCAGAGTCAGTACTTTTGTCAGAGAATCGAGTTGCTTGGCAAATTTCTACCCAAACGTACAGACACATATCCCGGGGGGCACAGCTTGCTGTTGACGGGAAAACTGACGGGGAGTTCTTCCGCGGAAATACTTGCACTCATACAGGTAAGAAAACTAATTTTTGTTCGTTTGTTTTGATTTGGTTTTGGCACGGTTTCGGGAAGCCCTACCCGTTGGTTTGGTTAGTTTGGGTAGCATTATGTACGGCACCGGGGTGGTAGTGCCTAAGTCTCCATTGTCACTGAAGTGCAAAACTTTGTCCCCCTGCGGAACAGGGATTACGAAAGAGGAAGGTGCCATGCACGTCAGTATTTCATTATTAAAAGTTTAATCTATGTTACAAGTTCGGTATCATGAATGGACGCAGTAGGTAGCATTTGAAGCAA